TTGATTTTTTATGATAATTTGTTATTTTGAGTTGTTTGATTAAATTTTAGAATCTGACAAAAGTCTTTTTCTGCTATAAAACTAATTGAGTAATTACGGATACAAATAAAACATTTGCTTGAAGTCCTTTATAAAATTCAGTTTTTATTTATCAAGGAGAGGTAGGTTACAGGAGATGATGCAAGAAATTCATAAATAGGTAAGTATACTTTTTGCGAACTGTCTTTGGTTTGTTTTCTTCCTCATATTTAAAAGACATAAATGTGGAAGTAGTACAGACAGAATCCTCCCTTTGATTTGAAAAAATAGAAAAATGTGACTTTAGCTTTATGACAAGACCACTTGGCTTTTTGCTTTCTGTACAGTAATACATCTCTAGAGCCTGCTATAAAAGTCTAGTTTGTAAAGATAATGTGATTTCTATACAACAGCTAGAGTTACAATACTTTTAAAAATATATGTGTTTTGTTCCCTGATTCAAATACTTCAGATTGATCCATGTACATTTTTTCACACACTAGCAAATATTGCACAAAATAGCAAAACTTCAAGACTCTACCAAACATACGGGAAACATACATAAATAAAATAATCTCCATAGCACTAACTTTAGTTGTTCAAATACAAATAATACCAATTGTTCCACCTTGTATTCTTGTTGTTAATAGGGGGTAACATTTCTTCATAACTTCTTCCCACCTCTGGTTTTATTGTCAAGGTAAATGTGGTATAATAATACCATACCAGTTCTAATTCATCACAACTTTGATGGTGTTGGGAATTGCCCATTATTAAAGTCACAATCTTAAAAACAAATGTGATACTTATCTGGAATAGATTTTCTCCTTATTTTTTTTTGACATGAGTGTTTATTCCTACTTATAAAGAACAAGGTAACAAAAATGCATTTTTATAAAATTTGAATGGTTGGGTACAATTTAACTGGAGTAATATGGTGGTTCAACTTCATACGCTTATAAAATGCAAAATGTCCTACTTTTTCAATTTGTAACATGTCACAAAAGATAGAAGAGAGGTAAAAAAATCTAAACAATTCATTTTTTACATAGTTCAGTAACATGAACATACTCTGTACAATACAGTCTGTTGAGATAATAACACTGTGTGCCGTGCACTTCGTGAGTCGGCAAGGAGAGCAGCGCTCAGCCTTACAACAGCATGAGGTGAACTGAAAACAACTGCAACATCGGCTCATATTGGCACTGACAGTGCAAGGAAGCAAATGTCCGGCGGTGTCGCGCGGTGCACAGTACGGTGAGTGGCCTGCTTGTCGCAGGGTGCGTATATCACCGGGAACCAGAGGTGTCGCTTGGACACCACTGAAGTGCCGGGAAGCACTTCCGCGTGTCTCTGGAGTGAATGAAAGTGGAGTTGCACAGGGTGCCACAGGGTGCCGCAAGGGTGTCACTGGGGTGTCACTGGGGTGTCACTGGGGTGTCACTGGGGTGCCACTGGGTGCCACTGGGTGCCACTGGGTGCCACTGGGTGCCTGGCGGCGGTGGGGTGCGCAGCGGGCGCTGTGGGGGCGTCGGACTGACGAGAGGTTGTTCTCACGGTCAAGGGCTCTACAGCCACTTGTTGCGAGCACCGCTCATCCGCCGCCCCCACATTAGGTTATATCATACTATCGTTCCTTGTAAGTTCTGCGGGTCGCCCACGGGGGACGAAGGGGCTCCGCCAGCGGATGGCGATGGCGGGGAGTGGGCGTGGCCGCCCATGCCCCCGAGGCCGCCCATGGCGCTGCCCATGGCGCCGCCCATACCCCCCACGGCGCCGGGGCTGTGGCCGGGGCTCAGCCCCTGCTGATCGTGGTCGGGCGGGGTGACCTCCAGGCCGATGCTCCCGTTAAGGGCAATCTTGATGGGGTTGACAGGCACGCGGGGCACGCCAGGACTGTGCGCCTGGAGGCCGGGGAGTCCTGCCTGGACGCCTTGCGCGCCCTGTAGGCCACCCTGCAGTCCGCCCTGTAGCCCGTGGAGGGAGGGCTCGATGTGCGACCCGTGCTGCAGTCCGATGTCCTCCAAGCTGCTCTTGCGGCGACCGCCCGCGCTCAGACCCTGCCTCAGCGAGCTGGACCGCCTGTGGGCACGGCACTTATCAGCATATCAGCGGGGAACGCACAGATAATACATGTATATATCATATTGAAGGCATTGGGGGAGGCCAGAACGGAGACGAACATATGTCACTGAAGGATAATGCAATGCGGAAGTCGTGACCTCTAGGAAATGTCAAGAACATGCGCAGAACAGAGAAGGGTATTCACACATGAAGTATTTACAATGTGTACGTTCACGCTACTCTGGGAGCAGAAATGAGCATCAGCGAAAGAAGAGGGGCGTTAGAGCAAAGAAGAGCGTTCTGATATTTAGGGATGTGTAGAGCTTCAACTTGAAAATGTTTGTGTACGTATGTGTCTCTACCGGTGCATTCTACAAGGGGCTCCAAAGTGAAGCATCCATGTCACGTGTCACGTAAAATAAAGGGGATTTGAAAAAAAATGTGCCTGCCGCTGCCCTGTCTCTTGTCTGGCGAGTCGAGCCTCTTGCTGGCAGAGATAAGGTTCCTTGAAATGAAAAACTTTGTTGGCGATATTTGTAGTTTGTTTAATATGAACCACAGACGCATTACAATTTAACAGTTATTTGAATGAATTGAGTCGGGTTGGCTGTGTACCAAACAGCTGCGAAAGGAAAATGCGTAAGACACCTAAGGCCTCCCTTGTAAAAAAAAAAAGAGAGTAAGAAACACGTCTTGCTTCTTACCCCAAGCCGGCGAAGACATCGAAAAATCGAAAACTAAACTCATAATGTCCATCACAATGTTTGAGACCACGTTAATGGGCAGCAGCTTACGACCCATCATTACCCATTTATCAAAAATGTAAATAAGTGAAAATGACATCAAAGTGTACTGGTTTACAGTAACCTTTCCCCATTATGTACATTTGTATGTGGGAAGTGTATTTCTCATTTGACTGGGGTATAAAGGAAATTTTTCGTATAACACACTCTTTCCAAGCGCCATGCATGAAGACCCACGAAGCGGTAGGATAAAACAGATGCGCCAGAGGGTGACGTTCGAGACACTTTAAGGGGTTTCAAAGGTAATTATTATTCTTGGAAAAAAGATAGGTACGCATGTGTTCATTTTATCACAGAGTAAGACATAGACGATGACATCGCCTACGGATAAGTTTCATTAGGCAAGTTGGCTTAACTGATTCAAATCTTTAAGAAATTTTTGAAACTGAATTAGGATTAGAATTAACCGAGCCAAAATATAAATGAATATAAATAAAAAAAAATATTTCAAAACTTTTGGGCTACCTCAGTCTCTTTTTGGAGTTGAAGAATACCAGTGTTTGGAACACAGCCGCAAGTTTACAAGTAGCTATTTTGAAGATCAATCATGTCAGAGACGTAGTCACAACTATTATTGTACGTTCAGCATTCAGTGGATGCAGGGATATACAGTTTAATGTTTCAGTGAGATGGAACCACTCGATAAACCACAAAAATGGAGGCAGAGAAAGATACATAGAAAAGTACTGTGAGGTCTGTTTCGACTGTTTTGAGTGATGATGTGAATAAAAAAAAATCACAGATACAAAAAACTTCATGTGCAATTATCGAGTGGCCCCAAAATCGTTCATTCAATTTACACTCACAAACACGCTCTCATCATCTACACACTCTCGCGCGTACACACATTGGTCATCAGGAGGAAGGCCCCCTGCAGCACAAGCACTGGACTAGTAATTACAAAAGAAGCAAACTTTAACAACATAACAACCTTTCTCTATAATAAATTAGTATTGTAGAATTAATTAACCGTCGATAAGCGGGGAAGTTTCGATTGTGCAGCGATATTATGTACTAGTAGTCCATATGTTAGACTGCTTTTTCATGTTCTTCCACAGGACTTTAATTAGTTGCATCTGCACTCAAAAGACAATAATCCGAGAACGAAATGTGGTCGAATCGCAGAGCGTATCAAGGATAGAACGTAAGAGGACTATTTATGAATGGGATATGTTAGAAAAGAGAAGCTAATGCCTGGGGTGGAAAGTCAAAGTACTTCGCTGACGTTTTAATAGAAATTTACAACGAACAGTTTCGAAAAGGTTTTAAGTTTATAGTTTGAAAAATATATATGTCACATGTATCAATAATGAACTCAAAATAGAAGAATAATACATTCACTCTGCACACATAGGGGAGGAAGAAAGGGTGCGAAGGACAAGAATGTACAGAACTAGCTATCCTCCTCGAGGAGAGAGCATGCATCACAGATATACTACATCTACTACTGTCCGTGCACTCTAAAAACACAGTGCGTCCGACTACAGGACATTTCGTCAAAAGCAGACAAAACACGCCTTGCGTTGAGCAAGCGGAGATTTCGTCTTTTATGAAAGGCCTTGATGAAAAAAATCCCGGAAGTCAGCTCAGCTGAATCCATCCCTACCCTCAGTATTTTCAGGCAACGAATGGAGACCGCAACCCGAGGCCGATGAAATTGAATGAGTTTCAGTGCCCCATCTGCCTGTTACCCGATCGCCATGTTATCCCCCTCTCCCGTTCCTCCCTCCAATTTCTACTTTGCTGGAATTATCGCGAGTGACTTTTCATGTGTGAGAGAGAAAGATAGAAAGAAAGAGAGGGAGAGTGAAGGAGAGAGAGAGAGGAGAGAGGAGAGAGGAGAGAGGAGAGAGAGAGAGAGAGAGAGAGAG